GAATAAATTCATGGATAGAAGAGCCTAGAACAATTTTTACTGACGCTTCCCTAACCCTAACCCCTCATGGTTAGGGTTAGGTTAGGTTAGGTTAGGATTACCGTTCAATTACGATTGAGGTTAGGGTTATGGTTAGGGCTAGGGTTAGGATGGAAAACATGACAGTTTTCTAAAAAATTACTGCGTTTTACTGCTTACAGACATTTTTACTATCCGTAACCCTAACCCTAAAGGGTTAGGGTTACGGTTACGGATAGTAAAAATGTACTTTAGGGTTAGGGTTACGGATAGTAAAATCCTAAAGGGTTAAGGCTAGGGTTAGGGTTAGGGTTAGGGTTAGGGTTAGGGGTTAGGGTTAGGGTTAGGGTTAGGGTTAGGGTTTAGGGTTAGGGTTAGGGTTAGGGTTAGGGTTAGGTTAGGGTTAGGGTTAGGGTTAGGGTTAGGGTTAGGGTTAGGGTTAGGGTTCAAGGGTAAGACATTTGAGAGATTCACCCTTTGAAAGGGTAAGACATTTGAAAGATTCACCCTTAGAAGGGTGAGACATTTGATAGACTCGCCCTTTGAAGGGTGAGAAATTTGAAAGACTCACCCTTTGAAGGGTGAGACATTTGAAATATTTACCCATTTGAAGGGTAAGACATTTGAAAGATTCACCCTTACAAGAGTAAGCAATTTGAAAGATTCACCCTTAGAAGCTTGAGACATTTGAAAAATTCACTCTTTGAAGAGTGAGCAATTTGAAAGATTTAACCGGGTTTTAGGGGTTTAGGGCTAGGGTTAGGGTTAGGGTTTGAGTGTTAGGGTTAGGGGTGTCCGTGGGCTGCGTAGTCATTGGCTTAGGCGATAAAAGCAAAACTACGATCGCCTTGTGCAGTCCGCCATTTTTTTTGTGTTCCTGTACGTGTATGAGTGAAAATCGGTAAGAATTTTATTTTAAGAAATAAAGATAAAAACCAATTTCGGCGGCTAAAGTCCAAGAAGCTGGGAGGGGAAAAAGAAGAAAGGGGACGGAAAAAGTTAAGATGAAGTAGTGAAAAGGATTTTGGAATTTTTCAAAATTTTATAAATTGGGCGCAGAAATTGTTTTTGTCAAATAGACAGGCACTCATTTCATCGACTGTAACTCGATAACCCTCATTCCTATAGCCTTCAAATTTGGCAGGCAACTGCTACAGCAGCTATTCTATTGTACGTATAAGCAGTAAATGAATTCATAGAGACGCACGACATTTATAGCGCGTAAGAAAAGACGAGAAGAGTCCAAAAAGTAACTCCTCTTTTCATAATTCTAATCGAAGGTACATTCAAGGCTGATTGCATCGATGTAAGTTTAACGAGAAACGGATGAAAATTGATTTTTCTACGAGTTTTTAAAGCTAAGAAAGATAGGTCTGCAAAGCGTACTTATTTCACCCCGTCAAACAAGAAAGCTCGTAGAAAATTCTCCAATGGATCATTTTCTACACCCATTAAACCAAACCATTGTCAATAGATTGAACAATCATGTCAATATTCTTTTCTGTCAGTTTCGGGAGGTTTTCATGGTTTTCGTAGCCTTTGAAATGGAAGTGTCAAAATGCCTCTCTTTTCGACTTTTATCCTTCTCCAGTGCATGCGCATTATTAGGCTCAGTAGATTGAAACACGTAAAGATGTTCTGCTCGACGAGACCTTCCTAACAGTGTATCACATGCTGTGATTTGATAAAATGATCCGTTGCAAGACCCTAGAAACCTGGTAGCCCTAACCCTAACTCTTTGTGGCAGATGGACATCTGATGACAAAATGCGTCTAAAATGAAAAGTATAACATCCAATGATATCAAACTTGCTCCACGAGATGGAGAGAGCGCCATAAGAATCCTGTGAAAATTTCAGAACTCAACTCTAAGGAATGAAGCTTTTACCGAGTTTGAGATCAAGCCCTAGTTTTAAGGTGGAGTTACAAGTTCAAGTCTTGTGTGGGTGTTATACCTATACCGGACCTTTTTCTTCGTTCAAAAATGCTTGCTTCACGACGGATTGGCATGATACTTTTCCCCGTAAAAGATAATGCACTTTACAATCTACATGCCAGATTTGGATAGGACTGG